CAATTTTGGCAATGTCGCTTCTTCACGACCAAACGGATTTCCAATTGCCGAGCATTGTTCCTTATCACAAGAGTTTAATCTCTCGCGGTTTGCGGGTTCTGCCCCGTGATCTGTTTAAAAACCGCTCATTAAATTTCACAATAAACAATCACAAATATATAGAATACACCAAGGAGATCTGCTTCCTATTCGCCACGCCGCACAACATATTTGTTTCTGTTTGATAATGTTATTGATGTTATGCTTAATAAAGCAGTTTCAAACCTATTGACGAATTTGTTGTAATATTTTAAGGAATACTTTGAGAACTATTTCTTCAAGAGTTGTGATACATGTGTAAAAAAATCGCCAAGTATACAAACATCGCTACAAAACGGTCTTGAACAGAATGACATTACAACATTTTACAGGTATTAAAACACATCAGTGTAAACAATGATCATGTAGAAGTGGGTAAAAAACGTATGTGTAAACATCAAAGTGTGAAATTATAAGAATTGAATGTCACTTTGTGTGTTTGCACTGAAAAATGAACGATGTCAAAAAAACACACAAAGTGACATTCCATTCTTAAATGAACACAATAAATTACGCACAGATGAAACATAGTTATCATAACCACAATTATCGTAATACATTAGCATATCATAAGCTTTTTGGGGAATGTTTTGTTGATGCATATGTACAAGTTTAAGCCAGTATTTTACGAAACGCCGTTGTGCATTTACCGGTATATACTTTGGGTAACGTCCACATTCACCATAAACAATTACATTTGGTGTTTGGGGACCAACATTTAAGAACTTCTTACATGTAGTTCAATGTACATTTTCAATCTTATATAATTTATTAATACCCCATACTTCAGCACCATACAAAAGGATTGGTTGAATTTGGTATCAAAAATTTCGAAAAATACAGAATAGTCAACATTATTTTATTTATATAAGTGATGTAGTACTTCTGGAAGTGCCCTTTTACGCCGAGATGATAAATCTAATATACATTTATTGAACTTACAAGAAGATAAAACAGGAATACCTAGATATCTATATGAATCAATCAACTATTAAGACACGTTCACCTTTATTAAAACATTTCTCATTTCTCGCTAAGGTTCCACCTCTTCTAAAAACAACAATTTGAGTTTCCACTAGAATAACATAATTTGTCATTTCAAATGATGCATGTGAGTCCGTCTTATGTTTATTATTATTATTATTATTATTATTATTATTATTATTACCATGTGATTTTATTAGTAATTACATATTATACATGTGCATGGGCATGTGCGTGTTTATTGCGTGGGCATGTGCGTGTTTAGTATGTCTGTCACGGATACATCGTAAGACTTTACTGATGTTTTTTACCTTGAATCCACGAGCACGGCTGATGAAGAATTAAAAATTATGGGTAATCTATAATTGCGAGTTCTTATAAGGAATATAAAAGTGCAAGAGAATGCAAAATTTTAACTATCCCCATAACAAATTCCGGTTGGCATCAAGGAGAAAATAGCCTTAAAATTTTTATGAGTTAAACACAGAAAATCAGTGATGACATTAAGGTAAGCATGTCGTGTCCTGCCGGTTGCACCAGCCATTGCAAAATCTCATTGAAGCATCCCAGTGACAAAGTAGAGTAGTGTTGATGCTCGGGCCGTTGACATATGGACATTATGTACTCCCGAGTTATACAGACAGTCAGATGTTTTATTAAAGTCTTACTTCATACATGTAAAACATATATAGATATTCACACGTATAAAATATCCATTTGATGAGCTGTCCCTTATGGGTTTACGAGAGACTATTTTAAGAATAAAGATGCATACAATAGTTAAAACACGCTCAATGAGATTTAACAAAACGTCACAACCTTAATTGTGATATAAAAGAATCTCCTCTCCTGTAAAACATACACGCAGGTTTTGGCACTCGATATTAAGATATCTGGGTTGGACATTATAAAAGCAAGCTGATCAACAGATTCCATATAATTAAATTTTCTTTTATACACTATATTCCACTTCAAAATCAAATATGTTCTCGTCACGATATGGCTGCAATATTGCCGATGTGACGTTAAATAATAACTCACTCACTCACTCTTTTATACACTACTTGCTCTTGGTCCCTAGAGTGGTGATCTACCTTCAGTTGTTAACGATCCCCAGCCTTTTTATATATTGTATTTCCAGGTTTGAAATCTTATTTTAGAGATATATGCCAGTTTTATTTCTTATTGCTGTGATATACTAGTTGGTTTTATTGTCCTTCGTCGACAGTGTTTTTTAAAATGTGCGCATTTATCATAACGTCACGATATGGGTGAAATACTGTCGCTGTGACTATAACCTTAACTCACTCACTCACAGTACCTGCTCCAACATGTCAGTTTCTTGACATAGGTCACTCATGTGTATGGAAGATAGCCAGTGTTATGCGAAGTTAATCAATAGAGTAGATACACCAGAAAGCAAATGAGCAGAAAACATGATTCTCATCATTGCATGTACCATAATATTCTTTGCGAATTTATGACAGAAACCATACAATTTGGAAAAAAGATGTATACTAGATATATACCCTTTTATATAAACGTTCCACACGTTGAGTGAGTAAATGTGGATTTGCATGCAGATTCTATTTCAGTATACTATTTTCAGTATTATGACACACCTGGCGAGGTGACCACAACTGTTATAGTGATTTATTATGGCATTCATGAACTAAACCTGTCAGTCAGGAAACGAAACTAGGTCCACTTGGCCACCAGTGTCCCATACACCATAAACATATCAACATTCACACCAAGACATTTTTCAGGACAACAACTTATCAGCCATAGATGTTTTTTACAAGAATGATATTGATCTTCTATGTTATTACATTCATGGTGACATGGATTTCACATCTGCATTTAGGGAAAGGAGAAATTATCTGTATTAGAGCAGTGTGTTCATGTAGACAGTATAAACTTCAGTTGTTACTACCACTGCAATTATCGTGAAGAAGGAATCATCCCTCTGCCACGTTTCTGTGGTCTGTCCGACAACCGCATTCCAATAACGGTTAGTAATACTAGTTTCCGCAGCTTCTGGCATACAACTCTGGACCTGAGACATTCAAGCGCATTTACAATGTTAAAAATACAACACACATTATATCATAATTCTAAAACCAATAATTGAATAGAGTAATGTACTTTCAGTAACATCAATCATGGTGGATCCGAGGCAAATAGAACATATGTAAGGTGAACACGATTGGCGGGAAGGTCACCGTCAACACAGTAAGATACTGACGTCTGAATTTTGACGGATGCAGCGGTGTAACGTTGTCTCATTGAAACAGGCCTGTCTCTCTGTCTGTTGATAATCAAAAGAAGGTGATGTTGACGAATTTGGTTGATATATACATCACTTCAAAAGTTTAGACTCACTTAAAACACTCACTATATGATTACACCTAAGTTTAATTTCTCCAGTAACTTGGGAGAACCAACTGCAAATATTATGCAGATGAATTGCACGAGGATCGTGCATCTAATTGCTGAAAAGAATGTGCAAATATCATGCATGTGAACAGCTGCGTTTTGGTGTAATGTTGTGTTAAGAATTCGCCAATTTTCACTGATTTTTAGTTTTATTGAACTCATGACAATAATCTTTTCAACGTGACGAACCTGTTTTACGAAACATTAGTTCAGGTGTACACAGTACCTTTAAACAATATCGAACATTTAGTTTAGAACAGTTGCCTGAAGTAAGTGGCTATATTTACACTAGTCAGTCTAAACTTTTGATAAGAAGTATAGTAATTTGCTTTCGGATGACCTCTGTGTTGAAAATGGCTCCGTCAATAAAACGTCTCTTGTTCTTGGTTTACTTCCCACTGCTGCAGACGGTTCCTGTTTGTTGGCTCAAATGTTTTCTCAAATTAGACACAGGTCATTGAGTCGCTGTGGCAGTAACATGTCAATTATGTAGATGGAAGACTCGGATATAGCAAGGGAGGTGAATCTTGTTCTGCCACTTCTTGGCAAATCCTGTGTTGGAGGGAAATGTACCGATCTCATAAACGTGTTGTGTACCTCTGTCGTGCGTTGACATGACGTGCAACTGCAGACTGTGATTCTCCATTTGAAGACATCCTATAGTGGGCTATGTTGGCATTGTGAGCAGTCGTTTTCCCAACTTCCAATAAGTCGACAAACATATAAGTGTTGACTGAGGTTTGACGAATATTGTCATTGTCATTGCACATCATTGTCACAACTTGCATGTACATTCTGCTATGAATCTCTTGTCAATGACATTTTCGTTCAGTGTTATACAAAAGTTAAAACTGTTAAAATATCAGACTTAGATCGCGTCATTAATAATATGACATTTGTATGGAAAGTTTTATGAATAAATACGTCATTTCAATATCTCATATGCCTTTCAGTTTTTTAAAAATAATTATATCTTCACTTATTGTTGGATTATCTGCCCGTTGTACTCCTTACTTGAGGTCTTCGGATTTTTGTGGTATCTTGCAGAGTCAACAGTCAAAACTAATATCGGGGCACCTTTTTAATCATCTTTATTTTCATTCCAAAGTATGTGGAATGTTAATAATTCGGTGACTACATTGCATATATATTGTCAAATTATTAATTCGATACGAGGTAGATTTAACAGCTTGAGATATGTTGAAACAGATCGTGATAATTGTCTGACTGATTCAGCTTTTTTCAGCCCATCGTACATACTGCCAACAGTGCTGGTCGTGATATTTGGTCAACTTAGTGGTGGAGTATTTAGCTGTATTTTAGCCACCACAACAGCTATATTGAAAAACCTATTTGTGTTACAAATGTAATATCTTGAAAAGATACAATAAAACTTGGTATAGGATACCTACGTATGGTAGTTACTTAGTAGTTAATAAATATATATGTATGGGTATTTGAATACCACATAAATCAGGGCATTGTTAATATACATAGACCTTAATATATACTAAGCAGTAAAAGAAACGTCAGTTTGGAATTTTCCTTCGCAGAAACGGATAACTGTAAACTCATTTAATGTTTTGATTGTATATTTTTGACAACATCTCCAACTTTACCTGAACAAAGACATTCCTTCCAAAATGTAGAATGGAACCCAGGAATTGGTCTCAAAAACGCAACCTAATCTCGGAGATGGTACGGTGTTCGTCATGTTTTTCATGCAACCCATGCTGCACGTGCTGTTCGCAAGGACCAGCCCTATAAAATGCACCCCCAAACCTGGTTGAAACATTCACATTACAACGTCAGCAGGATGCCCCGTCTCACGACAGCTCAGAGGAACCAGGCGCTAGGAAGACTTGAAGCTTGCCACAATGCACAAGCCGTTGCCAATCACTTCCAGGTCAACGTTCGGACCATCTACAGGCTGCAGCAACGTTTCCGGGCCACCAACACCACAAATGATCGTCCCCGTACTGGCAGACCAAGGGTGACCACGATGGCAAGACCGCCATGTTGTGCGACAGCATGTACAGAATCCCTTCATGCAGGCAACCGAAACAGGACGCCAGACAGTGGAAACACACGGAAGACCAATCAGTACTGATACAGTACGCCAGCGTCTTAACAGCGGGAACCTCCATTGCCGTAGACCTATCCTCACCCCTCGTCATCGGCGTGAACGTCTACAGTTTCCCCTACAACACCAAAACTGGCGATACAGCAATGGAGAACTGTTCTGTTCACAGATGAGAGTCGGTACTGCGTATCAGCGTCTTGGTCAAGGTCACTTGTTTTGATGTTGCCATTCTGTGAGTCATATGCATAACGAAACAGAGGGGTGGGGTGGTGTTGCCTAATCCTTACGTTCACCTTTTCATGAACTCCAGGTACTTTTTGATACTGATTTATAAATATATGCCCAAAACGTAGTAGTTGCGATTTCTTACGCTTGTGGAAATGGTTTGTTGCGTTCTTGAAGAACTTGGAAAAAAGTTCAACTCAAGCTTTTCTTGTAAACTCATCACAAGTATTAGGACAAAGGTACATATTGGCGACAAACATCTTGTGCCAGAACGCAAGTATTCGAAACCATAGCACACGGCACATACGTGCGAAGGATGTTATGTTTCATTCTGGCACTTTCAAGGATGCCCAAGTAATGTCTGTGGAACATTATTTCTGCCAATCTTATTTTTTCTCCTTTTAATATGGTTCAGATTAACAGGATTACAGGGTCACTCCATCCAGAGAATATAACTGCCGAGAACTTTCATTGGGCTACAGACTTCGGCTTCAGTCGATTATATCATGTCGTGTCTAGAAGCGTCGATATGAATGTCAAACCTTTCTCACCCTGACAGCTCATGACAAATCAGGAGGTGGGTCAGTTATGATGTGAGGTGGCACTGAGACTGACCGAACCTCACTCCATACTGTGCAAGGAAATGTCAATGGACAGTACCTCCTTGGATGTCGCATTTCCAAGAAGTGTCACAAACGCTCACTTCCAGCAACGTCACACCCAAAGAAACCTGTGGCCAGCAATGAGTCATGACTTTTCCCCACTGAACTAGTCTAGGACATGGTACCGAGACGTGAGAGGCAACTTTCTTGGCCGCCGACTACATTGGTTCAACTTATCCAAGCACACCAAGATTCTCTCAAATCGACTTTGTTGAGTGAATGAATGTCTAATAAGCCGGTACAAAGCACCATTGATTGGAAAATGTACGATTTCCTATCTGACCCCTGTTGTCCTTGACGGTCAACAAATCTACTGTCATACACTTCATTGTCGGTTGTTATGAGTTCCCAATTCGTTCATTATTGTCATCCAACTATTACTTAGAATAAACTGATTTTTTAATGCTTAAGTCATCTCCAAGAAACCCTACTTTTTCTCTTTTCTCATTAACTTCAGATGACATTCGCTTCAATTTTGGCAACTTGTCGTGAACCTTAGATGATTATATATGGTCACCACCGTCAGTAACAAACGTCCCTGGATCCAGAAAGGAACATTTTCCTTACGCTTGTGATGTAGGATAGCTTTACAAAGTTGAAAGGGCTCGTCGCACCGAAGATCCGGATTCGATTCCCCACATGGGTACAGTGTGTGAAGCCCATTTCTGGTGTCCCCCGCCGTTGTATTGCTGGATAATTGCTGAAAGCGGCGTAAAACTACACTCACTCACACATTCACACACTCACAAAGTTGAAGAGTCAAGCTTATGTTACTGCATATTTGAACGGTATCCTTTTTACTTTATGCAAAATTATATGTCTTTCTAAATGATGCTATTACACTCTTTAAAAAAGAAACGCATAGTAATTTTGAGAATATTGGACACCGGTAGCTGAGGCAAAAACAATACAAATATATTATATTCGCCAGAACGTCACCAAGAAAACATGCAGAGCAAAATGCACGTGCAGATAAGCAAAAAAGCATGCGGTATCGATACTAGAAACAGGCAAACGTTGTGTTTAATTTTGTCAATCGTTTTTGCCTGGAAAAAGGAAATAATCATGCCACGACTGAGTACCGCCAATCGAAGCATCGACTTGAAGCTCGGGAGTCGTAGTCTGCAGTTGTCCGACATTTCAACGTTCGTCAGAGCACCATATCTCATGGTTTCCTGCAGAACAATTCCGCCCAAGATCGCCCGAGAACCGACCGTCCAAGAGTTACCACCCAAGCCTAGGACCGCTACATCCGGGCTGCTCACTTGCGTCATCGTCTTGTCACAGCCGTGGAGACTGCACAACGCATCCCTGGTTTGAGATGAATTGCCCACCAAACTGTTTGCATTTGATTGCATGAAGTGGGAATTCGACCAAAAGGTCAGTTGTCGCCCCTGCTTTGAGAGACCGCTACCTTGCCAATTCTAACGTCATTGTCTTGCCCTGGCCTTCCCGATCATCAGAAATAAACCCGATAGAAAACCTGGGATGAACTCGATCGACGTGTACGTCAACGTCAAAACACGCCTCAGACACTTTCACAACTGGCCATCGCATTTCAAGTAGAGCGAGAGCAAGATCGACTTCGTTGACGCATCCAGTCTGTGCCGAGACGGTGCCGAGCAGCAATTGCTGCCAATGGTGGCCATACAAAGTGCTGATCTTTACACCATCTTGTGGACTCAAGTAAAAAGAAATACAACAATAAAGGCGGTTATTGTGTTGGCAAACTGTATGTCTATTGACGTGTGAATTTTTACCTTTTTACCATAGAAATTACATATAATAAATAGACTAACGCAAAATAATTCTTCTAAAAATGTCCTATGCGTTTCTTTTATTATTATTTTGAATAGTGTAATTAACTGGTATTAATTCAGCTTGTCTCAAACAGAGAACTGAATTTATGTCATGACCTGATCATATTAAGAGTCCCTTAAGAGAGAGATTTGGTTGTATAAGTGCAGAACACAGCGATATGGACCTTCGTGTGCGGATTATTATGGAGCTTCCTCTCAATCAGAAGTGGAATGGGCTTATCGTCAGGTTTCAGAGTCAGAAGTTGATAGCACTGACTTGCATGGTTCTGTTAGATTTCTTGCTCATCAGTCAACATACTGGCTTTGTTCCTGACATCATTTGACATGTTCCATGTTCTCTGGGCTGGCGGGGTGGCCTAGTGGTTAAAGCGTTCGCTCGTCACACTGAAGACACGGGATCGATTCCGCACATGGGTTCAATGTGTGAAGCCGATTTCTAGTGTCCCTCGCCGGAATATTGCTAAAAGTTAAAAACCATATCCACTCAGTCACTAACTCACCCCATATTCTTTTGTTAAACAATAATGTAGGGATGCTTACACAGACTATAAAAAAGTGGCCCCAGCATAAGGATCAGCATCACAGACCTACATGCATGTCTATCAAAGAAGTCTCGTACTTTTGAAAAAGTAGGGGATATTTAATAAAAAGTTGTCACTACAGAAAAAGAACAACCATCATAGGAATGGCGGTGATACAGTGATGTGGTTTAACTTATTTTATGAACATATGTAGCTGCTTCCTTACAATTTCATATAATTGTGAGCACACGATACAATTGCATAAACAAGATATAAAGAATGTTTATCAATTTACAGCCAGAGTGCCGAATAACGTCATTGAAACCTGTATATTTACGTTAATTACGTGTATTACAGATTTGTAATTGTTGTATGAGATGGAAAGAGGACATAGTTGCTCTTCTGGGCTATCCATAATCACAAAACAAGACCTACTCGTAGATTTAATTTAAAAAGTTACCCGTCTTGTAAGCAATGTACGAGCGTACTAACCGTACAAGTACGCAGAGGATTTCAGTCAAATCAATCTCCTTAAATTTCACCACTATTCAGCTGCTACCAGCGTAGAGCGACTCAAAGTTTGGTGCGATCCCTCTGGGTGATATTACAGTGGTATACTACAATGTTTTATATTAATTAATAAGTATCAAATATTGAATACTGCCATCTTCATATGACAACAAAGTTAAGGAATATCCATATCCTTATATTGGTACTGAAACTTATACGTTTCAATAAAGACATTATTAAACCACGTGGACAAGATTGGTATCACTGATGAAAATGATTGGTATCACTTGGCCAAATGACACGGCCAAGGAAAATATATTTCCTCATTATCGATGTTCTCATATTCAACGTATCCTAAAGTTCTCAGATAATTAAGAAACATAATCATGTTTTGGTCTTATTAACTGGACGTTTCGGTAAATCTAAACTTTAATTGGAAATAGAGACTATATAAATTTGTCTGTGAATGTCTTGAACGGTCGTGACGCGACGAAGAGCCCAGCCTCAAAAACGTAAGTTACCATCATTGTGTTTGACCATGAAGGTATGAGAGAGGGAAAAATATGAGCTATGAGCCATCTGAATATCACTGATAATATTCATGCATTTAGAATTTGAGATGGCAAAAATGCCTCTATTCTACCTTCTTCTCATCCATTGTACGTGGGCATTAATTACGCCCCACCTGGGCGATCTTCCACAAGCATATTGATAAGCAATGTAAAACATGTTATTTAAACAAAATCTGACAAAAACCTTGGTTTGCAAGCACACTGGGGAACATGATTCATA